GCGTTTTCGCTTGGCGTGCCGACGGTTATAAGGTTTTATCGGTATACTACGTGTCTATATAATCGTAGGATATATAGCTCGCGTCGAGCGGCGGTATATAAACCTTACTCGAAAGCTTACTTACTACGATTTAATATACCCTATCCAGTTATATCTCTAGCCAGCCAGTACTATCGGACCTAAGGGTTCTAGGATTCGGAATGGTAACCTTTAGGTATCGAAAATAAGGTATAATAAAGATATCCTCTACTAATCTAAAGGCGGGCTTACCGGGAATATATCCTCGGCGATCCCCGGACTATCTATTTCCTTATACGACCGGTCTATTCCTGGTCTTCGGGGCTATACGTATATATAGGGAACCCGGCCCGAGCAGTATACGTGCGTATAGTGCCTAGCGCGCGAGGACTATCCATACGTATAGTCCTGCGCTATTCCGGCGTATTATAGGATAAAGGAGAATTAGCGTGACTTCGTAAAGGGGGTATAGATATACTTAGTTAGTTCGAATTATAGACTACTCGTTATCTCCTAGTCTAAGTAGGCTTATTACGCGGCGGCGAGATAGTACTGTGTTTATACCTCCGTCCTACTAAAGGCGATAATATTCGTATTATCGGCGAAACCTACTATTATTATTCTAAGGACCCTTCTAAGCTCCCTATAAAGGGTAGAGATATAGAGGATAAAGAGGATAGGGGAGATCGGGGAGCTTTATGGTATACCCCCGCGGAGGTACTATAGGGGGGCTATTTTACTATTAAGTAGTATTTAGGCTATACGTCTTAGAGGAAGCTACTAAGTAGGGAAATCCGTTACCGGGGGAAGCTATTTCTTTTAAGTACTTCGAGGAGGCAGGAGTAAGCGATACTGTTAAAGGCTCTTTTAATATTTAGTTAGAGTATTAAAGCGGTATTATTATAGGCCTAGCTCGCTTGTATAGCCTTTATGACTCTTTATACTATTATCGTTATACTTCGCTCTATCCGGTTATTTATCTATCCCTTTAGGAGGAGCCGATACTCCTCCGCTATAATAGCGATCCGGTTAGCTAGGATCCCTTTAAGGACCTTACCTATTATACTAAGGAGTAATATCGGTTATTAGCCTTTTACTATCTCGTAGTCGGCTAATAGCCGACCTTCCTTCTTAAGGACTACTACGGTAGTATAGCGGCACCTTTTCGAGTAATAGCCTACTTTAAGGCACGTTATAAAGATAGCACTTAGTCTTTAGTATAGGAGGGGTTTATAGGCTTTTAGGAGCCCTGCTAGGAGCCTATTTCGTCCTAGTACCGCCTAGGGTTTAGTCTTCTTAAGGCGCCCCTATATATCCGCTACGGTAATATCGCGGCGGATATCCTACCCCGGGGGGAATTCCGCGCCTAGGGGCCTAGGGACGGTAAGGGGGGGGAAGAACTTCCGGCTTAGGACTTCGGCCTTCTCTATATATATAATTACTAGGTTATCGCTATTATCTTAGTATAGTAATAGCACTAATAAGGGGTCCGGCGGGGCTCCCCCTTTAATTCGTGCCTATTTTTATAGCCGCTAGAGGAGGTTGTTATTCTTCCCGGTTAAGTAGAGTAGATGTTATTAGTATAGCCGCTTCGTTACTACCACGGCCTTATCTTAGCTCCTCTCCGCTTCCTAGAACTTATCCTATTAGTTCCGGGACTTCCTAGACGTATATCTACGGTAAAGGCGCCTCGCTTCCTAAGTAAGGGCGGTAAGCTCCGCGTTCTGCTAAGGGGTAGGTAGGCGTTTAGGGGTGCCCCTGTAACGGCGTAGTATAGCCTTATCGGCTAAGGTTATAAGGTCTTTTATTAGATTATCTAATACTAAGTCGATATCTCTTAGTATTATAAAGGGGCCGGTTTACTATAATTACGTGGCGGCGAGCTAAGGGACTAAAAAGGGGTCGAAGTCTTTCTAGACCTAATAGGGCCTAGCTAGGTCCCGCGGTGGTATTATCGCGGTAATCGGCGTGATATCCGTCTTTATAAGGATTCGGGCTATCTATAAAGAATAGTCTAACCCGATAATAGTCTTATTAGGACCCCTAAAGTCGTAGTAGAGCCCTTACGTTACCTATATAAGGTCGATAATACAAGTATCCCGGCCCGGGCGGTACTATATAGTTATTCTAGGGGGGTTACTAGGTCTAGGTTCTACCGGGTTATAAGGGTAAGCAGGGTATCGGCCTAGGAGTAATACAACGGTAGCTATAACTATAAAGGGTAGTATAGGTTAAAGTCCCCTTTAAAGACGTATTGGCCTTATAGCGGTACTATATCGAATATATCTTATAGGGGTATATTCTAAGGGATCCTAGCTAACTAGTAGTTCTTTAAATAGATTAACTAGATTATAAGGGTAATATCTCCGGTCCTAAATATAACCGTGTAGGTATCGTGGTAGGCCTGCCACGTCTACGTGTATAGCAGGTGTCTTTTATAGATATATAAGAGGGCGCGGCCTCCTCCCTAGATTAGCCGGTATACCCCTTGAGAGGGGTAGGCGGGGCCTATCATAAAGAGGTTAAGGCCGGGTTTCTGGATTACTATTATATTATACTCGGCACGGTACCGGAGTAGTAGCTCCCGCCACGCCTAACTCCTCCCTATATTCTATAACAAAATATAGATTTCTATTAATTAAAGGGGGGGGGGGAGGTTAAGATAGCGTGCCTGGTATAACCGGGGTCTGGCTCAAGGGTTCCTACGACGGTGCTTTACTAGCCCCGCGGGGGACTATATAGGCGCTTATCGGGCCTAGTATCGGGGAGCCTTCCTATCCTTTAGTCCTTTTTATAGGCTAACCCTTACCCCTATAAAGGGGTCGGTCCTAGTCCTAGGCGATAATAATCGGGGGGAAAATTTACGACTATCACGGGTATACCGCGTCGGCCTAGTAAGTAATATTAAAGTCCCTGGCTCGGGACTTATACGCTTCGTGGGTCTTCTTAGCCTTTTTCTTTAGTAGCCGGTATAAATTGTTAAAGGTATTATAATTTCCGGTATAGGCGGCGTAGCGGCGGGGACGCCTAAGCGCCGTAGCATTATAGTATCCTAGGCCTTATAGGTACGCCGATTTAGGCTTAGCGTAATAGCGGTATACCCTGTCCGCTATAGGGTAGCCGTTTATCCTATAGCCGAAGTATAGGCACTTATAGCATCTTAGGGGACTAAGGTTAGGATCGTACGGCTTATAGATATAGCTACCCCCCTTAAAAAAGAGGGTATTCCGGATAAGGCTTATTACTCCTTCTAGTAAAGCCGATTTAATTAGGAGAAGCGCTACCCTACTAATACCGCGGCGGGGTACCCGCTATTATACTCGGATAATTTTAGCCTCGGGGTTTATATTTTATAGAGAAGCTAGTAGGTCTTCTTCGGATAAGGTATTAAGGACCTCCTAAGGTATAGCCTTAGCTAATATAGGGTAAATACGTACGGCTAAGGTAACTCCTTTACTAAAGGCCTTCTTAATTTACTATTCCTTATAGGTGGCTTACTACTATACCCTTTCGGTAAAGGTAAGGTAAATATCTCCGCTTAGTAGCTTCCGTGCCGTTATAGTATTATATCGGGTAGTTATAGCGTTTATAGCTTAGATAATTTCCTTTAAGGTCCTGGCTTTAAGGGGCTAGTCTTTAGGGGAGGTTCCTTAACGGATAATTAGTTCCCGATAATACTGGGCGGAGATTATTGTCGGGGGGGCGGGGTCCCGTGGCGGTACCGCTATAGGAGCCCGGCCTATAATATTAATATAAGTCTTTTTTATGCCGCTTATTCCTTTATGGAGTTCCTCTCGGATAATATATCAGATAGAGGCGTATAGGTATACTAACGGTATTATACTAGCGTCTTTACGGGTATTATATATCGTGATTAATTCCTCTACTAGCTTAATAACCTATTTAATCGTATTCCTATTAGCTAGTAAATCCTAAATTTCTGCCTTAATCTTAGTTACTCTTAGTTCCGGAGGGCGCGGTAGTCCCTTTTCGGTCTTATATCGGGTCCGCTCTATATCCTGCTATAGGCAGGGGGGGAGGAGCGCTTATATTATAAAAAGTAAGCCCGTTATAAATTCTTTATAATTAAGGTCAGGGCGACGCTATTCTATAAATCTTCCGGCTATACCGTAGCGCCGGTATTATAGTGCCGCTATAATAGTATCCTGGGAGGGAGGCGGTAGTTATACTCTCTATCCTAGTGGTTTTATCGGTTTTACTCTTTTTACGCGCCCGTGGTTTATCGGCTATTATATCTATAGTTATTATTAAAGTTATCACGACTATAATTTACGGCAGGAAGAAAGAGTAGAGGGGCTAATACCTAATTAAGTCTAATTAAATATAATGATAGTACGTAGAGTCTTAATTGGTATATATAAATTTCCTATAGTATATAGGTTAATTTGGATTTATATTATAGCCCCACTTGTTAATATCCGAACATTCAGACGTGATATCCTTATAGTGGAGCCTATATAATATATATAATAGTAGAAACTTAGATATAAATAAATATTATAAATACTCCATATTAATACTATATAAATAACGCTTTTAACTAATAGCTTAGTATCTTAGTATTTCTTGTTCTTTATAATCTAATACGAGTAATTATAAGTATTTACGAAGAATAGTACCTAATTCATTATTTTACAAAGCTTTATAGAGCTATTTAGAAGTTAATGTATTATACTATATATCTGTATATACTCTGAATTTTGGTGGAGAGTGGAGACGCTACTGACAAGGGCATAGTCGGGAATCCACTTATGTTTTCGCGGGAGCTTGTTCGGATGCGGATGCCCGCGGGCTACGTACCTTGTTCAAGACAATAAATCCGGTCGCTGTCTCGTCTCGGTAAGCGAGTTCCAATTCCGACGACATCCTTCACCAGTATAGTGTGCTTCTCCGTACCCGCTATATCATATCGCATTGAACTCCATTTCCAGGTCGTATTGACATTTCAACACCAACACATAATGGCTTCTGGATACGGCGCTCACGGCGGTAATATCTCCTTTTGTCTTCGATTGATTCATAATAGATGCTAATCCAGTTGTTACCTTCCCAGGACCATCACGGTGTTTTCCTTTCTGGCAGGAACTGCTGGCTTGTTACGTCGTCAACAGTGCCGAAGAGGACGTCAAGGCCAAAGGAAAATGCGGCGCAGCACTCGAAGACTACTACGAATGCTTGCATCATAAGAAGGAGGTCCGGAAATCCTTATTGCGCCGTTTCTCCGTCCTCCAACGAATGACCAAACTGACCCGTGTCCGACGTCGCTTAGGCTGCAAGAACTAGAGCGCTACAAGCAGCGTACAGAAAGGCTGCTACCGCCAGCGAGAGAGAAGGATTCCCAAGTGCAGGACATATTCGGAGTTTGGGAACATTGGCCAATGAGGCGAAGGAATTGGAATCATCATGATTGATCACAGCATACGCGAACAAGTTGTCGCGTGGAAGCTGGATGCACAGAGAGGAGGTTGAACATTGTCTCACTCTTGGCTCGCGAAGTCCTATAGATGCCGCCATGCTTGCCATTACCCTTTCAAGCCACCCAATTGCCCTCGACGAGTTCAGGATAACCATCACGAGATGAAATGTTTCCCCGTGGGCGGCTAGGTACCTTCCACCTTCTAGCCCTCTAAGTTCAGTCGATTCCTGGACTGTCATGAAGACGTGTCACGGTAGATACTGCTTTGACACAAACTCACACCTGAATGCAAGGTTGAGGTTACCTTCCATCGTCTGCAACGAAGACGGATAAGCGGGACATTATCTTCTAACAGATGCCCTTAGCCGCCTTATCGAGGGGTGATAAACCATATTATGTTAGAATTAGGGACAGATTAGGGCGCCCGGACGTTCTGATATCGAGCCCTTAAATGTGGGGCCATGATAATATATGGGCCCTACTAGGGCGCCTGTATAGATGAGTATTTTGTCCGGAATATAGTGGGGCCCGCCAAGCATGATTAGTGACCTAAGTACCAACCCATTTTGTATATACACTTTAAGTACCTAAACATATAGATACAGTAGTAAAGAGTTAATTAAGGGGCAAATATAAAATAAAGCACTAAACCACTATAATAACTATCGCGAACTATTATAATAACCCTAGGATTTAAGAATAGCTATCACGGTCTTAATTTCCTCTATCTCCTTCTCTTCTTCCTACTGCCTAAGCGTCTCTTCCTTAGCGTGCCTTACTAACGTATCTAATTTACCCTTAAACTTAGCAGAAATAAGCTTCAAATTATATTTCTTGCCTTAAAAACCCGGGTAAATTACCGAGGTGCCTATATACTAGGCTTAAATAGGGTTAGGGTAGGGGGGGCTATTACGAGTAGGAGGGTAGGGGGGGCTATTATAAGTAGGAGGGTATCGCGTTGCTCCTTTATAGCCGTGATTTTAAAGCTTAAGGGAAGCCGTTTAGTACTATTCTTCCCTTCGCCCTTCTTCTTTCCTATACTAGATATCGTAACGGCGCCTTTTAGGCGGCCTTTTCCCCGTACTACTCTAGGTTTAAGGGGACTAAGGGCAGGAGGCGGAAGCGTAGTACTAGTAGTTATATTATAACGATTCTATCGCTAGTATCGATTAATTAACGGGATACTAAGCGGTTCGGAGTTATAGTGGTGGTTAAATACTATATATTAGTAAAGCAGGCCAAGGGACGTCGTTATAGCGTAAGGCCTATAAGGCCCCGGTAGCTATAGTCGCGATAGCTCCTTTTAATATACCTTTTCTAAGGTAATAAGCTCGATCTTAAGCCGTTCGAGTGCCTATAGAATAACCTGTTAATTAATAACGCTAAAGAGAACTCTAGCTATAGGAAAGTCCACTCTATTAATTCGGCGTTACCTCTCCAGAAGTAGATCCGCCCGTTAATTACTCTAGTATAACATTAAGCTACGGAAAATAGTTACTAAGTCACCTATAAAGGAGTGGAGATACTATTTAAGGCTAGCGTGGGAAGACTCTACGATAGAGGTGGTTTTATTACTAAAATAGGGCACTTTATTCACGAAGTAATCCACGATCTTTTCCTTAAAAGGATTAATCCAGGTTCCTACGTAGTAATTAACTGCGTTTTCTAGGTATTTTCCTTACTACTTAAAACCTCTAAGTCGCTCTACGAATACCTCGACTATTAGGCTTAAAATTAACGACTTCTAGTTCTTTAAAAAGGCGTAGAAGCTTAGGTGGCGTTTAACCCTGCCACTAGCTAGCCTTGTAGGCTTCGGGAAAAAGGCCTTAGTTCTTACTAGCAGGTTTATATTAATATACTAACGGTATAGAATATTAGTAACCGATCTGAAGCTTATATATAATTTCAGGGCGTTTATTAAGGCGAGCTCCCGATCTATAATAACACACCACGGTAACTATAAACCCTCGGCTAAGATATAATCGGCTAAAGCCTTAAGCGCCTAGACGTACTAGGGCTTTTTTTTCCCTATCTAGGAAAGTGATCGTAATTAAAAAGGACCTGCGGAGCGGCGATATCCCGTAGAACTTAACTAACAGTATCTTAAACTTATTAGTTTTATAGGTTATATCGATAACCAGGATATCGGGAGCTTATTATATAAAGGGAATTACTAACCTAAGCGCGATAAAGAGGTATTATATCCGGCTAAGATAATTATAGCGATCACGGTAGTAGAAGCTATCTTATACAGAGGTTTACTAATAAATTAGTATAGATTTAAGTGTTTTATAGGGTAATAGGGACTGACCTCGTAAAGCCACTAAATTAGAGTCCTTCTAGTAAGCTCTTCGCGGCGGTAATAAGTATATAGGTTTATAAGATCTAACCTTATAACCTAGAGAACTTAGCCGCCTTTAGAAGATTCCGAGATACGGAGCTTCGTTATAATCTCGCGGGGCCGAATACCGCTATTCTATATACTAACCATCTTATCCTTATATATCGCGAGACTATAGGCGCGAAATCGACTAGACGAACTAGCTTTAACCTAGCTATAGTTATAGTCTAACGGCTCGCCTCCGCCACGCTTAACTATAGCCTCTATAACCCACCCTTTACAGGTATCACGACAGCGGAGGTTAACCGTAAAAGGGTAGGCTATTATTTAGGTTATAGTCCTCCGGCGCTTTAATTCATGGCTTAGGGTCTCTTAAGCTATCGGCGCCCTACCTTTCCTATAGCGGTATGTAATACGTATCGGCTACCTATTACGGGGATACTATTCCTTTATAATAAGACTATAACCGTTCGAGTAGGGGTGGGTAGTAAGGGCTATAAAGCCCTCCTCGTAGGAAGTATGAACCTCGGAAGGTAGGCTAAAGCCGTAGGGTCATTCTTTAGCTATTATAATCTGCTATATTATAGATTATTTTAGTGCCTTAAGTAACGGTGTGCGAACAAGACGGGTAGGTTAGTTAACTCTCTACTACTATATCTATATATTTAGGTACCTAAAGTGTATATACAAAATAGGTTAGTACTTAGGTCACTAATTATACTTAGCGGGCCCTATTATATTACGGGCAAAATACTTATCTATACGGGCGCCCTAGTAGAGCCCTAGTATATATTCCCTTACCTATAAACTCCAAGTTTCATAGTACTAAAACGGGGTTTAGCGGGACTAGATATATACTACTATATTCGTTAATATCGTTATTATAACTATAGTCTATTTTCGTTAATTAGGCGTAATACAATAATAATAATAATAATAACCTAAGCAGCTAGCTAATCTATTTCCGCGAGCTTATTAATAGCCGTCTAAAGTGCCTTTTCCTTAATCTGACTTAGTTATATATCGATAACAACCTTAAACGCCGCCGTAATCGTGATATATAGATACTTAGGAGAGTTAATAAGGGGATCCTTAACTTGTTCCTCGATATCTTCGTAGATCCGATAACTCCTACATAAAGCTATAGTTCTAGGCTTATACGTGTTAATAGTAGGTAGGGTAGTAGGCGTAGTAGATAAAGGGGTTATTATCTTATTCTATTCTTCTACCTAGATAATCTTAAAAGCCGAGAGTAGTCTCCGTATACTATTAACCCCGTGGCCCTTAGCGTAGCTCAACTGGATATCGTAATAGCGCCCTATAGGCGGCCTTTTCCACGAATAAGTATAGCATTTAAGGGTAGTCGGGGATTAAAAGGGCTAGACGTATTACCACTATTAGTAATAGTTCCTTTATTATCGCCATTCTACGCGTTAACCTTATTATAATTCTAGCGCTAGTAGGGATTAAAAGACCGTATCTTAACGGGTTCGTTATTACATATATAACGAGTAATTACGTGATAATAAGACAGGCCGTGAGTCTTAAGAATAGCGTAGGGAAGGTAGTTATTAATTATTAGAGGTAGTTAAGGATATTAATTATAACCTCGGCTTACCCGAGGTAAGCGCGAGATTTTGCTACGCTAGATAAGCTAAAGAGCTTACGGGATAAGTTAATATCGAATAAGGCTAAAGAGAATACCTTAGGTAATAAACGCTACATTATTTATTTGCTTATTCCTCTCTAGTAGAATCTCCTCCTCTTACTTTCTTTAGTATAGCTTTAGTTTATAAAAGATATCGCTAAATCGCTAATAAAGGAGTATAGGAAAGTCTTAAGGCTTATATAGGAGGGCTCTATAAGAGGTATCGTTAAGTGCCCGAAATAAAGTATTTTATTGAGCTAGTAAAGAATAAACCTCTCCTTCTATAGTATAATATAGGTATTTATAGCGTATTTAACAGCGTTCTTTAGGTATACGCTATCCCGCTAGAACTTTTTAGTTACTAATAAAATACTACCTCTATACTACTATTAATTAATGTATTCTAGGCCTAGAGGAAAGTAACGAACTAAGGGTAATGCTTAACCTGGCTATCGATTAATCGAGTCGGTTTTAGGAAAAGCCTCTTCGTTTTAGTAAGGATATATGTATTAATATACTAGCGGTATAAAATAAAGTTAATAGAGTATACTTGTAGGTAGATAAGAAGAGTATTAATTAATATAAGCTTACGATCTATTATAGTATAACGTGGTAAAGGGTAAGACGTGCCTAGGAACTCAAGAAAGCACTCTAAAGCCTAGCTATATTAACCGCATTTTTCCCTATTAAGGAAAGCGTAGGTAACTTAGAACGCCTTATAAAAACGCATGATACCGAAGATACTAAGTAATAGTATATTAAAGCGGTTAGTGTTATAGGTATAGTTAAGTAGTAAAAGGTCCGGCGAGTAACGTAAAAGCTTAATAAAGCATCACGGCGCGATAAAAAGGTACTCGACACGGCCCACGTTATCTGGAAGATTTTAGTAGAAGAAGCTTAACTCGTTATTAAATTACTATATAAATAGCAGGTATTAGCTAGGTTTTCTATATATAGGAGAAAAAGGAATACCTCGTAAAGCTACTATAATAGGGTACGGCC